GTAGACTTGCTGGTCAGATGGATGAGCTGGGTTTGAAACTTGTCTCTGCCACTTATGAAACTTGTAATATGGCCAAGTTCCCTAATCTCCTCTGGTTCTCTTTCTCACAGTCAACAAAATGGGAAATGCTGTGGTATCTGTCCGGTGGAGTCTGTTGTAAGGGAGGGAAAGCCATCGTACAATTTTGGCCTAGAGGCATTTAGTAAATGGAGGTTCCCCCTGTCTTGTCTTTGCCCAAATTACCCAGCTAACAGTGGCCAAATCAGCTAGGACCTCGTGTCGGAGCTGGGGAGAGCAGGGCCTAGGAGGCCTACAGGCCCTGCAAGGAGGGCTCACTGAATTCTGAGGTCCAGCCACTCTGTCTGATGCCTTCCCCTCTCTGCCAGGTCCTGGGGACTCAGAGAAGGTACAACAGCTGGAGGAGCAGGTGCAGAGCCTGACAAAGGAGCTGCAGGGCCTCCGAGGTGTCCTGCAGGGACTGAGTGGGCGCCTGGCGGAAGACGTCCAGAGGGCCGTGGAGACGGCCTTCAACGGGAGGCAGCAGCCGGCAGATGCAGCTGCCCGTCCTGGCGTGCACGAAACCCTCAGTGAGATCCAGCAGCAGCTGCAGCTCCTGGACAACCGTGTCTCCACCCATGACCAGGAGCTGGGCCATCTCAACAACCATCACACCGGAGGTGGCGGTGGCAGTGGCAGTGGCGGTAGCCGGGCCCTGAACCCTGCCCCCGTCCCTCCGGCCCACAGTGAGGAGCTGCTGCAGGAACTGGAGCAGCGGCTGCAGGAGTCCTGCTCCGTGTGCCTGGCGGGGCTCGATGGCTTCCGCCGGCAGCAGCAGGAGGATCGCGAGCGGCTGCGGGCACTGGAGAAGCTCCTGGCCTCCGTGGAAGAGCGGCAGCGGCAGCTCCCCGGGCAGGCTGTGGGCCGCAGGCCCCTTCAGGAGTGCTGCCCTCCCGAGCTGGGCCGGCGGCTAGCCGAGCTGGAGCGGAGGCTGGATGTAGTGGCCGGCTCCGTGACAGTGCTGAGTGGGCGGCGAGGCACAGAGCTGGGGGGAGCGGCTGGGCAGGGGGGGCACCCCCCAGGCTACACCAGCTTAGCGTCCCGCCTTTCTCGCCTAGAGAACCAATTCAACTCCACTCTGGGCCCCTCAGAGGGACAGGAGGAGGGCTGGCCTGGGCGTCCTGGGGGCCTGGGCCACTGGCTGCCTGCTGCCCGGGGCCGACTAGAAAGGCTGGAGGGACTATTGGCCAATGTGAGCAGGGAGCTGGGTGGGCGGCTGGATCTGCTGGAAGAGCAGGTGGCAGGGGCTGTGCAGGCATGTGGGCAGCTCTGCTCTGGGGCCCCCGGGGAGCAGGACTCCCAGGTCAGTGAGATCCTCAGTGCCTTGGAGCGCAGGGTGCTAGACAGCGAGGGGCAGCTGCGTCTGGTGGGCTCAGGCCTGCACAAGGTGGGAGCAGCCGGGGAGGCCCAGCAGGCTGCGCTGGAGAGACTGCAAGGGGTCGTGGGCCAGCTCCAGGGTCGTGTCGACGCGCAGGACGAGACACTTGCAGAGTTTGCACTGCAGCTGAATCTCACAGCAGCACGGCTGGGCCAACTGGAGGGACTACTGCAGGCCCGTGGGGATGAGGGCTGTGGGGCCTGTGGTGGTGTCCAGGAGGAGCTGGGCCGCCTTCGGGATGGTGTGGAGCGCTGCTCCTGCCCCCTGCTCCCCCCACGGGGCCCCGGGGCTGGCCCAGGTGTTGGGGGACCAAGCAGAGGGCCTCTGGATGGCTTCAGCGTGTTTGGGGGGAGCTCTGGCTCAGCCCTACAGGCCCTGCAAGGAGAGCTCTCTGAGGTTATTCTCACCTTCAGCTCTCTCAATGACTCACTGCATGAGCTCCAGACCACTGTGGAGGGCCAGGGTGCCGACCTGGCTGACCTTGGAGCCACCAAGGACCGTATCATCTCGGAGATTAACAGGCTGCAGCAAGAGGCCACAGAGCATGCTACGGAGAGCGAGGAGCGCTTCCGAGGCCTGGAAGAGGGACAGGCACAGGCTGGCCAGTGCCCCAGCCTAGAGGGGCGATTGGGCCGCCTTGAAGGAGTCTGTGAGCGGTTGGACACGGTGGCTGGGGGACTGCAGGGCCTACGAGAGGGCCTTTCCAGACATGTAGCTGGGCTCTGGGCTGGGCTACGGGAAACCAACAGCACCAGCCAGACACAGGCAGCCTTGCTAGAGAAGCTGCTGGGGGGGCAGGCGGGCCTGGGCAGGCGGCTCAGTGCCCTTAACAGCTCCGTGCTGCTCCTGGAGGACCAGCTTCACCAGCTCAGTCTGAAGGACCTCACTGGTGAGGGGGCACTGGTGCAGTGGGAGGTGGGGGGACCCCTTTCTGGTCCTTTCTTTTTCCTCTCCCCCTCCACAACAGCCAGCCATAACCTTATATACTTTCTCCTTATTCTACCCAGCATGAATTGCAGGCCCACCACTGTCCCGGGGGTTGGTGTGTCCACAAGAGATGATCCAAGCTCCTAGCTCCCCACTCTCCCCTGGCAGCTCAGACAGGACAGTGGTTAGGGGTGGGGTGCTGCCCTGCCAGCCAGGTATCCAGCATGGGCAGCAAAGGGGCCCCATGCACCTGCCCATGGAGCCACAACCTTCTTTGTCCTTTGGAAACTGTTTTTATGGCTTCCCTTCAACTTAATTTTATCACCGTAGGGCCCCCAGGTGAGGCCGGGCCCCCAGGGCCTCCTGGGATACAGGGACCCCCAGGCCCTGCTGGACCTTCAGGACCTCCAGGCAAGGATGGACAAAGAGGGCCCATCGGGCCACCAGGTATGTGGGCTGAGATCCCTACTGCAGTCAGGGCTCCCCCACACCTCTAGCAGCCCTAGGCTTGACATTCGTTCCATTCTGAACTTGAAAGAGAAAGGAGGAAAGGGGCAAGGAGTGAGAGGTCCTACGTGGCTGACAGTGATGAGGGACTGGCACAGTCATTATATGGACCGGTTCAATGTGGTAACCTTCCTGCTGTATTGAAGACTAAGGCTGAGCTCACAGGGATATGTAGGGTGTGAAAGGCTGGGGACGAGTTGAACTGAAAGGACCTTATTCCTCCTTTTCTTGATACCCCCATTCCTGCTTTGGAGTCTGTATGACACCTAGGACAGCAAGAGACTCAGCTGATATTTGCTGAGTGACTTAGAGCTGCCCCACATCTCACCACTCCCTTTCCTCTTCCCACAGGTCCCCAAGGAGAGCAGGGTAAGTTCCCCATCTGGGGTGTCGGAGGAAGGAAAACTGAATGAGGGGTTGGATGGAGGGCAGAAGGCCTCAGGCAGCCCTGGAGGGAGAGACCCAGGAGGGGATGGGGACCAGGCAGCTCTGCACTGAGTATCTACTCTGACCCCCACCTTATCCCTACCCAGGAGTGGAGGGGGCACCAGCACCCTTTGTGCCCCGGGTGGCCTTTTCAGCTGCCTTGAGTTTGCCACGGTCTGAACCAGGCACAGTGCCCTTCGACAGAGTCCTACTCAACGATGGGGGCTACTATGATCCAGAGACTGGTAAGCCTGGAAGCAGGCTGGCTGGGCCGTAGGGCAAGCCAGCACAAAGCTATGTGGTGACGTGTTCTCATTCTTGCCCCCTCGGGCAAGGGGTATCTTTTCATGCTCTGGTTTGGGGAGACCCCTTTTATCTTCATTTATTCATTCTCACCACAGCTTGGGCTAAGGGAAAGGGGTTTTGGGGGAGGAGCGCTTCTGTTCTTCTGTTCAGCAGCTCTTTGTTGGGGGCCTGGGGATGTTGTAATGAACAAGGCGCCAAATTCTCTTGGTGGAACTTACATTCTAGTGGAAGACAGGTGAAAAGACCCTGGAGGTCTCTGCTTAGTCCAGGAGTTCTGGATGGGCTCCCTAACACCTCCCAGGCCCTCCTGACTGCCATTCTCCGTCCCCAGGCGTGTTCACAGCACCACTGGCCGGCCGCTACTTGCTGAGCGCGGTGCTAACTGGGCACCGGCACGAGAAAGTGGAGGCCGTGCTGTCCCGCTCCAACCTGGGCGTGGCCCGCATAGACTCTGGTGGCTATGAACCTGAGGGCCTGGAGAATAAGCCCATAGCAGAGAGCCAGCCGAGCCCCGGAGCCCTGGGCGTCTTCAGTCTCATCCTGCCGCTGCAGGCTGGAGACACGGTCTGCATCGACCTGGTCATGGGGCAGCTGGCGCACTCGGAGGAGCCGCTCACCATCTTCAGCGGAGCCCTGCTCTACGGGGACTTGGAGCTAGAACAGGTGTAGACAGACGGCTGGGCATGACCAGCCCGAAGTGTCTACGCCGCCGGCCAAAGAGCCAGCGGGGGCGGCGGGGCTCCGTCCTGGCCCCCCAGCCCCAGGCGAGCCGTCCAGTACCTGTGCCGCGCAGGCGCCCAGAGCACTCTCCTCGCCACGGCCTGAGCGCCCCGGGTCGGAGACTCTGGGATCCCCACGTCCAGACTTTTGGCCTGCTCGCCCTGCAGGGCCCAGACGGCTGGGGAGCCGATCCTCGCACCCTCGCAGCTCCTCCAGCCGGTCCCTAGCCCGAGGCAGGGCTCTCCCGAGGGGCTCTGGCCCCCACCGCCGTACCAAACTATTCAGGAATAAAGACACTTGGTTTTTCTAAAAAACAAAACAAAACAAAACAAACCGTCTGCTCCAGTATGTGTTCAAGGGTACACAGAAGTACAGATGGGACGGGGTGAGGGGGGAGCCCTGGGTTTGCCACCCTGGTCGCCCCCACCCCCGGCCCTGGGGCTCCGCGCGCACTTCCTCGGCACGCGCCGGCGGAGAGAGGCGCAGCGGCCCCGCGCTCCTCCACCGAACCCCGGTTCCGCCGCCGTCCGCCAGGGGGCGCTAGCCGCCCCCCCCACTCCCGTCACGTGACCCCGCCGCTCACCTAGCGGCCCAGCAGCTCCCTCGAGCTGGGATTGGCGGGGCCTCGGGGGCGGGCGCAGCCGCCGCGACAGCGCGAGCGCTGCAGGGACTGAGGGTTCAGGCCGCAGCGGCGAGGCCCGGCTCAACCTCGCGGCGGGTCTGCAGCGCGAGCCGCCCGTGCCGGAGAGGGAGGGGCACAGGGCGCCTTTGTGCTGCACGTCTTTTGCGTTCAGAAGATTGGCTAGGTACGCTTCAGAGAGATTTGCATTAGCTCCGAGTCTATCTGACAAGTGAGGAAACTGAGGCCGGGAAGTGGGAGGCGTTGCCATCTGCAAGGCCACGCCACCTGCTAAGGGGAAGTCGGGGACCAAGGCCTCGGGGTCTGCGCTCCCAGGCTCCCAATTGAATCGGTGGGCGTGGGGAGCAAGGGACCTGCTCCATTCCCGCCTGGCTGCAGGAGGCTCCCTGGGGGAGGAGCTCGGGACGCAGAGGAGGAGCCAAATCAGCCTCTGGAGAGGGGACCCGATCCTCCGGGATAAGAGGCAGAGCCCAGGAGGAGCCCAGTCGGCCAGGCGGGCAGAAGGCTCCGGGAGCAGCCCCATGGAAGACAAGCAGATCCTCTGCGTGGGGCTGGTGGTGCTGGACATCATCAGTGTGGTGGACAAGTACCCGGAGGAGGACACGGACAGCAGGTAGGGGCGCCCGGGCCCCTCGGAGACCCCAGGGGCCGCTGCGGCCCCGCGTTTGAGCCCGGCAGCCAAGACCCCGGGTCCGCGGGGCCAGGGGCCCGCAGTGAGAATCCAGCCTCGGGAGCTGGTGTCCCGTGCCCTGCGCCCCGGAGGACCCAGGGGAAGAACTGAGGCCGTTAATTATAAGACCCGGCTTTGGATAGCACTGTGTTCGCCAATTCCCGTTTCAGGAATCATTGTCGCCTTTAGAGACTCTTCGAGATCAAGTGATTTATCCAAGGGCATGCAACTAGTAAGGTGCAGGGCCAGCTTTTTTCTTCTCTCTTCTTTTAAGATTTTATGTATTTGAGAGAGGAAGAGCGAAAGAGAGCAGACCAGAGGGGAGAGGGAGAAGCAGGCTCCCCGCTGAGCAGGGATTTCCCCACGTGGGGCTGGATCCCAGGACCCCAGGCAAAGGCAGACGTTCAACCCACTGGGCCACCCAGGCGCCTCCAGCTTCTTTCTTTTTAACAAAAAGACCCATGCACTTGCCTTTCACCAGCATTTACTTCTAATTTATCTACCACGTATATCTCATCTGTTTTTAAAATAAATTTTGAGGTAGCTTACAATAATAAGTATGTGCAGTTAGAGTGTAAGAATACTTAAAACAAAAAACAAACAAACAAAAAGAACACTTAAAACAGGGCAGCCCCGGTGGCTCAGCAGTTTAGTGCAGCCTTCAGTTCAGGGTGTGATCCTGGAGTCCTGGGATCGAGTCCCATGTCAGGCTCCCGGTGCATGGAGCCTGCTTTTCCCTCTGCCTGTGTCTCTGCCTCTCTCTCTCTCTCTCTGTCTCTCATGAATAAATAAATAAAAATCTTAAAGAAAAACCACTTAAAACAGTGGTATTTGAGCTTCAGGGCTTGCTGGCACTAGAGGCAAGTTTGGAAATGCTGTGGGTTATGGATAGAGCTGGTGCCTATGCCATGACCAACTTTGCCCTGGTGCTCAATTCCAAAAGTTTACCAGAAGTCTTTTACAAAAATCAGCAAACAACATACTTCTTGGTTGTCTGGTAGAAGTTGAAGAGTCGCTCATTGGCTCTTCTATTTGCTTTTGGTAAGAACCTCACTGCTGCACTGCAATCCCAGGAGGGCATTTCTGTGGCATGGAACTTGTAGCTTTCTCTTGGTCTGGTCTGGTGCTCCTCCCCAGACCCATGGTTTTGCTCCTCTGCAGAGCAGTGTGGGTTGTCCATAGAGTCTCTCTGTCTCTGTCTCTGTCTCCCTCCCTCCTCTTCTCTCTCTTGTGGGCCCACCCCTGACACACACCTCCTGGACGCTTGTGTCTCCCAGATGAGCAAGCCCAAGTGGGGTCCCAGTCCTTCCCAGGCATTTCAGTCCCACCTGTCCCAGGCTCTCTGTGTTCCACAGGCATCTGGGGACCCTCAGGAGCTGCCACCTGGAACTTGGCCAGAGCCCTGAATTATGTCCCTGCCTCCCAGGGTCCAGGCTGAGAAGAGCCTTCCACAAAGCATCCTCATGCTCAGCAGAGCTTTTCTTTCTTTCTTCTTTCTTTCTTTCTTCTTTCTTTCTTTCTTTCTTTTCTTTCTTTCTTTCTTTCTTTCTTTCTTTCTTCTTTCTTTCTTCTTCTTTCTTTCTTCTTTCTTCCTTTTAAAAAAGATTTTATTTATTTATTCCTGAGAGAGAGAGAGAAAGAGAGAGGCAGGGACATAGGCAGATGGAGAAGTAAGCTCCCTGCAGGGAGCCTGATGCGGACTTGATCCCAGGATTCCCGGATCACGCCTTGAGCCAAAGGCAGATGCTCAGCTGCTGAGCCACCCAGGCGTCCCTCAGCAGAGCATTTCTGCACAGGAAGTTGGGTATCAGTGTGACTTTGAAGGATTTCCACAAAGTAAAAGTGTATACCCTTTCTTCAAAACCTCATCCAAGCTGGCACCTAATTACTTCCATTCAAAACTACAGAGTACATTGCAGTGATTTGGGAGTCAGGCCACCTGGTTTCTGATAGCAGCTTTGTCACTAACTATTGGTGTGATCCTGAGTCAGTCAAATCCCACAAGACTCCCCCATTCTAATCTGCCCAAAAATTTCTCTAAAGCTCATAGCTTGAGAACTGTTTGACCCTTTACAAAGTAGTATCCTTCCTAATGAGATCACGGACCCCTTTTCCCAAGACTGAAGGGAACTTCAGGGTTAAATTTTGTGTGCCAATATACCTTAGCCTAAGCATTCTGTGTCATTCATTTCTCTTAATTAGTGTCTTTTTTTTTAAAGATTTATTTATTTATTTATGATAAACACACACACACAGAGAGAGAAAGGCAGAGAGAGAAGTGGGCTCCAAGCCGGGAGCCCGATGTGGGACTTGATCCCGGGACTTGATCCGGGGACTTCAGGATCGCGCCCTGGGCCAAAGGCAGGCACCAAACCGTTGAGCCACCCAGGGATCCCCCTAATTGGTGGTTCTTATTGTAAGCGGCTACTGTTATTCTTTTTGGAACTGGAAGCATGGAAGTAGCAGCCTGCACTGTTGGGGCACAGGGAGAAATCATTAAAGTGGTTTGATGTGCATAAGTCATTGATACTTCATTGTTGATGGCGATGTGGTCTTGCAAGTGCATCTTCAGTTAGTCTCCTCAGCATACACCTTAGTTAGATTTTCAGTAAAGATGGAGAAAAACTAAAGAAGGAGAAAAGGTGGGGCGCCTGGATTGCTCAATTGGTTAAGTGTCTACCTTTGGCTCAGGTCGTGATCCCAGGGTCCTGGGATCAAGCCCCACATCCCCAGCTCCCTGCTCAGTGGGGAGCCTGCTTCTCCCTCTCCCTCTGCTTACCGCTCCCCCTGCTTGTGTTCTTTCGCTCAGTCAAATAAATAAATAAAATATTTTTTTAAAAAAAGGTAATTTAAAAAAAAGGTAATTATGTAATGAGATGCCGTGTTAACTAACCTTACTGTGGTAATCATTATGTGATATGTGCTCATTTCAAATCATGTTACAGAATGTTATATGCCAGTTATATTTCAATAAAGCTAAAAGGGGAAACAAAAATGGAGAGAAACTGGTCTTCATCCAATAATCTTTTTAACCTTTCATGTCGTATAAGTTTACTCCCCCCGCCCCCACTTAAATGACCTCAATGTCCAGGTTGGCACCCTGACTTACTCATTTTACCCTGAGTTATTATTGAAGTGGATTCCCCCAAGGGCAGAGTAGTTAGCAGATTTGACACATTTAGGAGAGGTGCTGGAAGTTCTCCAGCAATCAGGGCGCAGCGGCTCCTGGGAGGGGTGGGTCACTGTGACTGAGAACGAGGTCACCCACCCTGGAGCCCTCCTTTGGGATGGACCTGAATGAGTGAAAGTGGGAAGGCTGGTTAGACGCTTTCTGAGGAAGATCTGCCAGCTTTTCCCCATCCTGGGCCCCATGGCGGGCTTTGCTGCCCCGGGCGCCAGCCTGCCGGAGCTGCAGGGACCCTCCACGTGTTTTGCAGGTGCTTGTCCCAGAGATGGCAGCGTGGAGGCAACGCATCCAACTCCTGCACTGTTCTATCCCTGCTGGGAGCCCCCTGTGCCTTCATGGGCTCGATGGCCCCGGGCCATGTTGCCGAGTGAGTGGAGGAGGGAGCCGGAAGGCCTGCCCAGAGGGTGGGTGGAAAAGAAGGAAGTCTTAACCCTGGGGGGGAGGGGGGGCAGGCTATCAGAAATGGTTTGTGGCCACCAGAACTAGGTGGGAGGCAGCGTGACAGAGTGGAGCACCAGCATCCTGGACCCTCCCGAGTGTGGCTTATCTGCAGCTCAGGTGTTAATGCTCTCCTGTTAAAGCCTTCCTTTCCACAGCCTCTCCTTGGCCAATCCCCGGAGCCCGCTCAGCTTCCCACCTTCCTTGCTTCCGACAGACTGTGCGGCGGATATGACCTTGCCCTTCTCGATTCCCTGTGGTCCTGGCTATGCTGGCAGCAGAAGGCAGTCAGGGACATGCTGTACCCACCCTCCCTCAAGGATGTCCAGCATCCATGGTCCTAGGGTTCAGGCCCATAGTTTCTTTCCCAGTTGAGGGGACAGAGCCTGTGCTTGCATCCCTCTTGTTAACTGAAGTAACAAGAACACCCTGCCTGAGGACGCTCCCGCTCCGAAGTCACATGCTAAAGCTGGGCCCAGACCTAGGCCTCAGCTCACCAGCTGTGAGGCAGCAGCCCATGATGACCCACACACTTTCTCTGTGTTAGCTGCTGTAGGGACCCAAAAGCCCTTTGACCCCTGGCACTGCCAATTCAGCAAACACTTATCGGGAGGTGAGGCCCACACTTTGCCCACTGTGGGCAGTAGGGCAGGCTGCCAGGTTGCTGGTCTGTGAAGCATAGCCCTTTGAACCCTGGTTTCAGAGGGGCTGCCGCCAAAGCCCAGCCCCCTGAGCTGCAGCCAGATTCCCTTTCTCAGTGAACTGGCACAGAACAGATCAGGGGGCAAGGGCCTGCCCTGTGAGGTGGGACAGAGGGACCCGAAGCCAACAGCTGGTCACTTGCTAACTTTCATCAGTGGCCATAAGAGGCAAGACTGCTGCTCTTGCTTTGGGTAGTGGGCTCATCTTCATGGAACAATAATACTGGGAAGTGCACCATTCCACATTCTCCCCCTGTGTTCAACAAACATTTAATGAATACCTACCATGTGCCGGGCACTGTGGGTACAAAAAGTCATTTGGAAAACCAGGCCACAGTTTGCATGTTTTGGTCACGTTAGTGGTTAAAGGATCCTCGAGGTGTAAAATGAGGAGAGATGACCCAACTTGTACTGTCCAGCTTTGGTGTTGTCAAAAGTGGGGCCCAGCCATAGAAAGGTCAGGATAGTGGCTGGACTAGTGGTCACAGGACACTGTTTTCAGAGAGGGCCAGAAAATGTGGGGTGTTCTTTGTGTGCAGTATCCCCGAGGGGCTATCTCCTGCTCACTCTGATCAGAAGGGATTCAGGCCCACTCTGAGGAGCATCAGACACTGAGAGCCAGCTCACTGGCTGGAGGGTTCACCTTGCCATGAGAGAAGAGGGCAATGAGTGGCCCACCAAGGCAGGACCACTTCCTGGTTGGGCATGGTGTAGGTGGGTGTCTAACCACATTAGCAGGGCAAGGGAATTCAGAAAGAAGAGTGAGGATGAGTGTGTAGAGGGCAGCTGGGGAGCAAAGTACCACTTGGTAATTATTAATTATGCCTGGGCTTTACATGAGACAGGCCACAGTGCCCTTACCTGCTCTGTTCAAACAGGGTTCATGCTCTAGGCCTCAGATCTAGCCCATCTAGTTTTATGAACTTAAGATTTTTTTTAAGATTTTATTTATTTATTCATGAGAGACAGAGAGAGAGAGAGGCAGAGACGTAGGCAGAGGGAGAAGCAGGCTCCATGCAGGGAGCCCGATGCAGGACTCGATCCCGGGACTCCGGGATCACACCCTGAGCCAAAGGCAGATGCTCAACCGCTGAGCCACCCAGGAGTCCCATGAACTTAAGTTTTATGAACTTAAACACATCTTTTCTGGCTTGAGTCAGACTGAAAGGTTTGGGGTTTGAAGTTACTTCAATCAGGATCTAAAAGAAATGTCCCTTAGTGGTTTTCTCACTGAGTTCCAGGCTCTGCACCCCTCCCTCTCCTGCCTCTCCGGCCCCCTTACACAGCCTGGGACAGTGTGGTGGTTTCCAGTTCCTTCCTACCCCCCTCCACTTGCATCCAGGGTCCCTAGCAGCCCCTGCCACGTTCCCTCAGATCCTCAAACCTTTGTCGAACCGTACCTCCCCCCGGGGATACTCCGTCCTGGCAGTTTTGTCCTGGATGACTTCCGCCGCTATTCCGTGGACCTACACTACACAGTCTTTCAGACCACGGGCTCTGTCCCCATCTCCACGGTCATCATCAACAAGGCCAGTGGTAGCCGCACCATCCTACATGCCTACAGGTTTGTACCTCTGTCTGTGCCTTGCCAGCCACCGCCGCCATCACTAACTCCCAGAACAGGACCCTTCTTCTCTCGGAGGCCACGTGCTCCACCACCCCTGCCCCTCCCTGCAAGAGGTCCAGGCCCCTTGTAGGCTCTAATCTGTGTCTCCTTGCCCTCCCCTTGGCTCGGACTCCACCCCAAGCTTCCTGGTGGCTGACTTCAGGCAGCGGGGCGTGGATGTGTCTCAGGTGGCATGGCAGGGCAAAGGGGAAACCCCTTGTTCTTGCTGCATCGTCAACAACTCCAATGGCTCCCGCACCATTGTGCTCTACGACACGTAAGGCCCCCTGGCCTCACCCTGGCACAGCCCACCAATCAATTCCCTCCCTTGCCACGTGGGCATCCCAACTGCCAGCTCTCTGCGCCTCTCTCTTTGTGCCAGAAATTGTCCCCATGCCAAACTGTGACTTCTCAATTGTTTTCAATTAGGGAGAAGTGAGGTGGGAAGGGATGTGCTTTGCTCTGCCTGGTGACTTGGCCTTGGTCAACACCACAGGCAGGCAAGCCTGTCCAAAACATAATTCATCATGTGATTCCTCCATAATTGGTCAATCAGAAGCTGGGTGTGGGTGTGGGGAAATTGTTCCGAGGAGAGAAGGATGGATGGGAGATGTGATTTTGTGATTCAAACCATCTTAAGCCCTAAAGGGGATCCATTCATTGGATTTCCAGGGTCAGCCCCAGAGTTGCCAGCCTGCAGCATGGCACCAAAGAGCTGGGTTTGGGTGGTCAGAAGAGATGAGCCCACCATGAAGGTCCCTGCACAATGAAGCCAGGCCAAATGCCACATACAACTCACAGCCATTGCCAAGGCAGAGGGAACATTGGGCCATCAGATGCCATGTTAACTGGGGGGAAGGAATCTGTTTAAAGTCCCAAGCTACTAGGGAGAGGCCCTGTGGACCCCCACTTTTCTCATCTCTCCCAGATTCCCTCCTGAAGAATCTCAGACATGTAGTTTACTAAGAACCTAGTGTGTTCCAGGTACTGTGTTAGGGCTGTGGTGGTCCACACCCAGCGGCCCTGGGGTTTAGGGTGTCCCTATCGCCCAGCATGACTCCAGGACCTGGGGAGAGGGGGCAACTGTCCCAGGACAAGCCTTATGGCCAGTGTCTCTGAGCTCCCCGTGTCCCAGTGAATAAGTCAGTGGGCATATGTGCTGGCAGTGACCTTCACCTTGGGCGATTCTAGTCATCTGCCCATTAAGCAACAATCAATCTGTAGCAACTTTGATCAAGGACACCACATGGTATTCACAGGAAGAGGAGAGGAGCTCAGAGGAGAAACATTTGTTGCCCACTGGCCTCAGTGCAGACATATCCACACACATTACCTCTAACTCCAGCAGTCTGGTGGGTTTGGATCCACTTACCAATGGAGAAGCAGCCTCAGAAAGGCCCAGGTACACAGCTAGTTAATTAGATTCAGCTACAGAATGTGGAGGGGAGGGCATAGGTTAGGTGTAGGTCTCTGGTCAAGGCAGACGCTTCCTGGGGCTCCACCTAAGTCAGCCAAACATAAACTCAACCTCAAGCACCAACCTTGACCTCAGGGTTGCAACATGGAGCTGCCAACCCTAGAACAGCGGTGCCATCACTGCTGAGACGCCAGAAGTGAACAGGACCAGACCCAGAGCAGCCATGGCCTTTGTAGTTCACTGGGCCACTGCATGCTGGGAGCTGTGTGTGCTGCTGGCAAGGGGGGGGATTCTGGGAATTGTAGTCCCTGGTGCTCTTAGAGTATTCCTGGGAGATGTGGTCTCCAAGGCACACTCAACTGGCCTCTTGACACAAGCTGCAGTTGAGTTTACCCTTGGACAATACCCGAAGGGCACCCTAGCAGACTGCCTCCAGTCCCCTCTCTGGATGGAGCTGGGTAGGGCAAGGAATGGTCAAGAGTTTAGCCTGAAACAGGGCCTCTCCCGGAGCTGAGCCCCGGAAGGCTGTGTTGCAGATCCAGTTCCTGGCCATGCTGCAGGCAGCACTAGGTATAGGGGCCCCAGCAGCCAGTTAGAGATGCTGGCCCTGGCTTGCCTCACCATGCCTCTTTTCTGTGCTTTCTGTCCACGACTTAGGAACCTGCCAGATGTGTCTGCTACAGATTTTGATAAGGTTGATCTGACCCGGTTCAAGTGGATCCACATTGAGGCAAGTTGCCACCCTATCTATGCTTTGAGGGGTTCAACCTGCCAGCCCCTCTATGTATTCTGGCTTCTTAACTTTTTTGAGCCAGGAAGTACTTTCCAGATAAATGACTCCTGCAACAGCCCCCCCCCCCCCCCCATCCATTCCCTCTGCATCTTTCTGTGTTTTCAGTTAGGAAATCAAGGCCCAGAAAGCACCTTACTCCGGTTCACACAGCAGGATGTAGGCACCAGGAGCAGTATGCTGGCTCCAGGCCAAGACCCATGCTTTCCATGTTACAGACTGCCCACCTCCTCCACACTCGGAGAAGTCCTGAGTTCTAATCCTAGCCTTGTCATTTAATTCATCATAGGTCCTTAGGAGAGTCTCTTTTTTACTCCTTTGTCTCCTCATCGGTGAAATGGGGGGAGACGGTCAATAAGGTCTCCAAGGTCCATGACTGCCCTAGAATTATGAAACTTAGAATGGAGTTCCAGCCCAGCCTACCTCTGCTCCTGTCCCCCCTCACCCAGAGTTCCAGTGGGGAGGGAAGAAGGAGCCAGAAGCAGCTGGGCACTGCCCTGCAGGTCCTGAGTTGCTCTGCCGCCCCCCCCCCCCCAGGGCCGGAACGCATCTGAGCAGGTAAAGATGCTGCAGCGGATAGAACGGCACAATGCCACGCAGCCTCCAGGTCAGAAAATCCAAGTATCTGTGGAGGTGGAGAAGCCCCGAGAGGAGCTGTTCCAGCTGTTTGGCTATGGAGATGTGGTGAGTGGCCCTGCAGCTTCCCCTTGCCACATCCAGCTCATTTGGGTCTTTTTTTTTTTTTTAAGATTTTATTTATTTATTCATGAGAAATACAGGGAGAGGCAGAGAGGAGGCAGAGGAGAAGCAGGCTCCCTGCAGGGAACCCAATGTGGGACTCCATCCTGGGACTCTGGAATCATGACCGGCAGATGCTCAGCCATTAAGCCACCCAGGCATCCCAGCTCATTTGGGTCTTAAAGGGAACCAAGCATTCCCTTGGTTACCTGGAATGCCTACCATACCTGGAATTGCTTGATGGCATTGGCAGGTGGGGGGTAAAGAGGCAGGACCCCAGCTTTGGACTCCTGTGGTGGCCATGAAGCAAAATTTCTCCATCCCAGTGGGCGCATAAGTATGAGAATGGCCAGAGGGCTACTAGAGCCAGGGACAGAGCACCCTGCATGGGAGTACCTCCTCCCTGGGCCTCCTCACCGCCTCCCCCGCACCTCCCACCCCCGAAAGCCCCATCAAGTGAGGGAATGGGACAGTTCTCTCAGGTGTCCTCCAGCTCTGGGGTGGGCGGCAGCCTGGGGGAGCCACCGAGGGGTGACGCAGGATAGGAAGGGGACTCGCATAAGGTAAATTTGGGTAGTGCTGGGATAGAAATGAAATCTGAATGACAATCCTAGCATCATAGCCCAAGCTGGCTGGGCCTCCACTGTGGCTGCGGGAAGGTGTGGATGCCTGAGCCACACCCTGGGTTTTTATTTGATGGTTGGCGGTGGAGCTTGGCCGAAGTATTTTTTTAACAAAACTCTCTCTGGCAGCTCTTAACGTGTAACTGGTGTTGAGTAAGCTCTACAGCCCCCACCCTCTTTGTTTTAAAGGTGAGGAAACTAGACCCAGAGGGCAGAGTTGTATTAGGAAAGCAAAACAAAGCAAAAGGCTCCTGAGAGCCCGAGGTGTAACTTGGCAGTAGTAGCTTTCACCGCAAGATGGCGCCCAAGGCTCGCTTTGGGTTTTCAATTGCAGGAAATTCGTTGATCTTAGACCAAATAAACCAGGGACTTTGTGTCACATTTTACAAAGGGCTGTATCCCCGCACATCTTGAGCAAGTATGAAAACGCATTCCTGTGGGACAGTGAGATGCTACGTTGGGGATTTAGGCGCCATGTTGGAGGAGTGGCAGCGCTAGGCCACTGGTGGTGACTGAGCTGGGACTAGGTCAGAGTGACCCACAGCCTCGTTTCCACTGCCCACAGGTGTTTGTCAGCAAAGATGTGGCCAGGCACTTAGGGTACCGGTCAGCAGTGGAGGCCCTGAGGGGTTTGTACGGTCGTGTGAGGAAAGGGTGAGCAAGGGAAGCCAGGAGGAGGCTTTGGGTCTGGAGAATGAGTGAGCCCTGGGGGTGGGGGGGCTGCCCTAGGGAGGGGGTGAGACTGGGGGCCAGGTGGGGGGCTGCCCTGGGGAAGGGGTGAGACTGGGGGCCAGGTGGGGGGGCTGCCCTGGGGAGGGGGTGAGACTGGGAGCCAGGTGGGGGGGGTGCTGCCCTGGGGAAGGGGTGAGACTGGGGCCAGGTGAGGGGGGCTGCCCTGGGGAGGGGTGAGACTGGGCCAGGTGGGGGGGCTGCCCTGGCGAGGGGGTGAGACTGGGAGCCAGGTGGGGGGGGCTGCCCTGGGGAGGGGGTGAGACTGGGGGCCAGGTGGGGGGCTGCCCTGGGGAAGGGGTGAGACTGGGGGCCAGGTGGGGGGGCTGCCCTGGGGAGGGGGTGAGACTGGGAGCCAGGTGGGGGGGTGCTGCCCTGGGGAAGGGGTGAGACTGGGGCCAGGTGAGGGGGGCTGCCCTGGGGAGGGGGTGAGACTGGGGCCAGGTGGGGGGGGCTGCCCTGGGGAGGGGGTGAGACTGGGGCCAGGTGGGGGGGGGCTGCCCTGGGGAGGGGGTGAGACTGGGGGCCAGGTGGGGGGCTGCCATGGGGAAGGGGTGAGACTGGGGGCCAGGTGGAGGGGGGCTGCCCTGGGGAGGGGGTGAGACTGGCGGCCAGGTGCGGGGGGCTGCCCTGGGGAGGGGGTGAGACTGGGGCCAGGTGGGGGGGCTGCCCTGGGGAGGGGGTGAGACTGGGGTGGGGGGGGCGCCCTGGGGAGGGGGTGAGACTGGGGGCCAGGTGGGAGCTGACAGCCCAGCTGAATGGAGGGCCTTGCAGGGCTACACTTATCTGCGCCTGGGCTGAGGAAGGCGCTGATGCCCTGGGTCCTGACGGGCGGCTGCTGCACTCAGATGCTTTCTCTCCACCCCGGGTGGTGGATACTCTGGGGGCCGGAGACACCTTCAACGCCTCAGTCATATTCAGCCTGTCCCAGGGTGAGTACCCCGGCAGGAAGCGTGGGCCTGAGGCCTGCCCCTACCCAGAGACCACGCTGATCCAGCTATTTGTCCCTACAGGGAAGACTATGCAGGAGGCTTTGAGGTTTGGGTGCCAGGTGGCTGGCAAGAAGTGTGGCCTACAGGGCTTTGAAGGCATCGTGTGAACACCCTGTGGCAGGGGGCGCTGGCTCACACCACCCCCTCCCCGGAGGCTGGCACCACTGGCCATCATTACCTTCTCCCTTCCATCCAGCCGGGCATCTGGACCGCCCTGCTCTCTGGGCAGATGCGGGCTGTGAGGAGGCTCCGCCTGTGTCCTGGTGTCTCATGCTACTGAGCTGCAGAGCAAATAAATCTCCTGCCCCAGACCTGGCTTCCTTCTGCCAGTCTGTTTGTTCTTGATGTCTGAACTGCTCTGGCTGGGGATATTACAGAGGCTTTGATACTACAGCCTTTCATCCTCTTTTTCTCTATTCTTCAAATTAACCTCCCTGAGTAGGCCCAGAGGAGGGGTGGCCTACACCAGAGCAGTAGGAAGTACCCCAGACTTGCCACCAGCTGTGCCTTTGGGGGAGGCCCAGCTGGTTCTGGTGAAGAGGAGCCACAGGGGATGGGTAGAGATCATGAGCCTTCCTGGCTGGGGAGGACACTTATCTCCTTGTACCTCAGGGAACCTTCCAAATAATAAGCTACGAGAAAAATCTCTGGACCCCTGGGCTGTCACAAGACTCCAGTCATAGTTCCAGGACCATCCACATGGCTGAACCAACCTGACAGACCAATGGGCAGGGAGCCTACTCTGTGGTTTGGTAGTGCCTTCACAGTCCAAAAATATCTCCCCTGTGACCCGCCCAGAGCCTGAAGCCCCACCCTTGGAGCTGCCTTGTAGTTAAGGCTGTGCTTCAGCCACAGATGTGCCCCAGGACACAGTGTTGCTCTCCCTGTGAGAGACCAGGGCTGAGGTCATATTGGAATTAGCTAATTTTCATATGGGAGTTGGCCACAGAGGCCACAGAGTATGTTAAAACCATGGTCTCTGCAGTCCCACACACGTGAATTCAAATCTGCCACATTAGTGGTGTCATCTTGGGTACGTTACTGACTCGGTCTTCCTCAATTTCCTCATCTGTCAAATGGAGCTAATTCGGCCTGGTCTTAGAATTATTGTAAAGGCACAATCAGACAACATAGAAAATGCCCAGCATGAGGCCTGGTGTGTACTGGGCTCTCAATAAATGGTAGTTCTTGTTAATATTATGGGGAGGGAGGGCATGTACTGGGTGGTGGGGAGGACCGGCTTGGAGCTGCAGGAGGGTACTGGGTGTCTGAAAACCATGGGAGGGGCACGGGGAGCATTTGGGCCCCAGGGAGAGGCTGCGCTCTCTCTCCTGGCTTGTCTGCAGCTGGCTGTGCCCTGCTGTGCTCTGCTGGGTCTCAGCACCATTTGGGAACACTGGGAAAGCAGAAGCCCCTCTATGAGGCCTGTCCAGCCTCCAAACCCCTGTATCCCTGAGGCCAGGCAGGCCAGACCAGTGAGTAGATGGCCCAAGCAGATGAGTTCATTCAGTTCTTTATTGGTTGTCTGGGCCCTAAAGCTGCCCCCTCAACTTAGGGTCTACCTGAGCTGCACAGAAAGACCTGCCCCTACTACTGGGGCCAGGAAGCGGACAAAGAGGTGGTCCTCGTCCCAACATTCACACCCCACTCTTTGGGGCTTGTGTTCTGGTACTGAGACTTCTAGGGGTGCGAATCTCTGTTGTCAAGGTTCATATCTCATCATTCTCCAGCTGAATAACGTGACCTTCAACCTCATTTGGGGTGTTCCTAGACTCCAGTGTTTCCCCTGGAAGCTCCTCTGCTTCCTTTCCAAGGTCCCTGGCCTCTACCTGTCCTCCAGCCTCTACTCCGGGGCCTGGGGCTTCTCTTTCAGCCTCCGCCTGTCCTCCAGCCTCCTGTACAGGCTCCGAGGACTCCCTTTTGGCCTCCACCCCTCCCCCATCTTCTCTGGGATCCAGGGCTTCCTGCAGCTCTTGCCTTGATGGGCTTTTAGCTAACAAGGACTGCCTCCCAACATCTTGTGGCTCCAGGGGCTCTCTGGGCTCCGTGTGCTGAGGGGCCTCTCCTGGGAAGTTGATGAGCTCTGCAGGGGTCATGAGTCCGTCCCCATTCAGGTCCTGCATCTCAAGCACCTCGTCCACTACCAGGATCACCTGTGGAAGCACATGGTTGCTGTGGAGTCTGCAGTGAACAGAGATGTTCCCAGGAGCCTTGACCCTCCCCACATGTCTCCACAGCCCTGCCAAGCAGGCTTAGAGCACTTATTTTATAGTGCATTCACCGAAAGAGTCACAGTGAAAAAGACTGAAGCCCCAAGAAGTGGAGTCTCCTTCATGGGAGAAGGGGCACCCGAGCCCCCAGGGCTTACCGGGTTTGCGATCGGAAAATCAGCAGCTCCAGGTGCCAGAGCTTCGGTCAGCATGGACAACAGCTCCAGGCCATCCAACTGTCCACTCTGGTCATAGTCGTGGAGGGCAAAGAGGTAGAGGAGAACTAAGGAAGAGAAGCCGGATCAGAAGAGGCCTCGGGAACAGGTGGAAGAGGCAAGGGCACATGAGAGCCTGGGGTCAGTCCTGGCTCTGCTGCCCCAGGCACCCCCCAGGGCCCAGCCCCTCACCCTGCTCCCGGGTCATGTGTTCTGGCTCCTTCTCCATCTTCTCCAGTCCCTGGAGGTAGTTCCGCAGAAGCCTGGCAGAAACGTGGAAAGTAAGCCCCAGAGAGGCTGGTCTGCAGACCCTGGCCTACCCCCCAGGCCAGCCCACTCACCGAAGCTGCTCCTGGCCTGGCTGGAAGGGGTTGGGCAGCGGCTGCTGCTGCACTCCAGGGTCCAGCCTGGAGGAGGGAGAGAAGCGCCAGCCTGGCAAAGAGCCTCCTGGAGGATCCAGCCTACCAGCCTTCCACCCTCAGGCTCCTGGCAGCGTTCCCCAGACCCAAAGGGTGTTGTTCTCTCACATTTCCAAAAACCTTGTGGGGAGGAGGCCCTTCTGGTCTCAGAAGCAGAACCTACTCCCTCAGACTGTTTTTATAGATTCCTAACTTAGATGTTAAGGGAAAACCCAAATAAAGCATCTGGTTAGACAGAGGCCAAATGAGGCCACACTTAGTAGAAACAAGTTGGAAACCCGAGAAAACAGTGAATGGGTGGCCAGACAATGTGGATCCTAGTCACCCTTCTATGTCAGGGCCGGGGCCCCAGGGCAGGTAGGTCTCTGGCTCAGCCCAAAGATACCGCCCAGTTTTCCACAGACCGGATTTGCCCCATGACACAAGGTGAGGACATAGATGTTGGTTTTAGAGTTTCTATCTGCTTGGGCTCTCTTTCTCAGTCCTTGAAGCCCGAGATTTGCTCTCAGTTCTGGATGGGCTGCCTCTATGCCCAAATCAGTCCATACCCGTGAGGCCAGTTTGCCCAAATCAGTCCAGACCCGTGAGGCCAGTCCAGACCGTGAGGCCAGTTTGCTGGCAGGAGCCATAGCATCAGCCTTTGTCACAGCCACCAGCCTTGCTGCTGTTCCTTTATCTGTCCCTCCGCTCCACCCAGCGAACTTACTATGTGGTCTTTACACCCAACACCTTGAGAGGGATGTTCACACAAAATAGGATTGATATGCTAATGATCTCGAAGGCTCTGGCATTCCCACATGAGTTGTTGAGAAGAGGAGTGCAGCTTCTTCCCAGGCTTCACACCCCATTGGAACTGAGCGCCTGAATCCCAGATGAATCAATCCCAGCAAATACGCGCTGGGTGGGTACCCACTCTGCAATGAGTGCTCTTACAGGCACAGGCAGGGGTGGCAGCAGCTGGGGGCAGGGGGCAGATACAGAGCTCAGGGAGCATACACTCAGCCTCCTCCCTCCCAGAGGGGCCCAGATTCTTCAGGGACTCTCTGCATCCCAGCCTGTGGCCCTTCCCTCTGAAGCCCGTTACCTCACGGTTCCATCCTTGGGAGCGGCCTGGCTCAGGGGCAGCAGCAGCACTAACATTCTCACTGGCAAAGGTAACAGCATCCTTGCTGGAACTGGAACTAGGAACAGAGTTAGGGAGTCAAGGGGAAGGAATATCTGCCACAGAGTGGGGGAATCAGTGGGTCAGAGGCGCCTTCTCTCCCTGCCTCCACCTGCAGCCCAGGTGTCAGGACTCCTGCTCAGGGAGGAGGCACACACAGACCTCAGCGATCTCCTGTGGAATTTGTCCAAAACAAATCTTACTCCAGACCCACTGGAGTAAAGCTGATCAAGCAGACCTGCTGTGGTGGAAATGGCTCAGCAGGCAGAGGTCTCTCCCCCCTTAGCTCCCCCACTGAGGTGCCCCACCCATTCCCCACACCCATCCCCCTACCATCACCCCCACCAGCCCCTGAGGTGCTCCTAGAAGTGCGGTTTAAGTACATCTACTCCAGTCTAGTCCCTCATTTTGTAGATGGAAACTAGCTCAAAGACGTTAAGAAAAAGGCCAAATCAGAAATGCAGAGTTGCCAAAAGACCAAGACGGACACAGAGGCAGATTGTTAGCTTGTATTTATCAAAACTCACCTAAGAAAAAATCCATAAAGGTTCAGACTCCTTTTTTTAAAAAAAGATTTTATTTATTTATTCATGAGAGACACATAGAGAGAGAGGCAGAGACATAGGGAGAGGGAGAGGGAGAAGCAGCCTCCTCACAGGGAGCCTGATGTGGGACTCAATCCCAGAACTCCAGGATCACACCCTGAGCCAAAGGCAGACACTCAACCTCTGAGCCTCTCAGGAGTACGGAGGTTTGGACTCCTTGACACAGGTCTAAACTCAGGTAAGGATTGAAACAAATCAGAGTGAAACCGATGGTGGCCCTAGGACCTGTTCACTGAATGCAGTTAGGAAATCCCAGTAGAAAGGAAAAAACAAAAGCTTCCCTTTAGACCTACACTGTGTAGGCCCATTGGCAACACAAGCACTTGGTTATATGAAAACAAACAGAGAAAGGATCTATCAGAAGCACAGAGCATGAAGCTCACTGACGAGGCCCAGGTGGATGTGCACATCATATGATCTCCTAAGGAAGCACACACCCACCACAGCTGAAGCCTGAGACCCCATCCCCATCTCTAGGAAGACAAATCACCAGGTGCTTGATGGTCTAGGCAGAGGATCAGGAACCCCTGTCATGGTCCTCGACATTCTGACTGGCATGGAATTCTCCTGGGGACATGTCTGTAGCTTTTGCCAGATTCTCAAAGAGCTCCATGACTGTAACAAGTTGCAGAAGGACCGCAAGGATGGCAATCAACTGCCTCAGAGAGGTGAGGTGGAGCTGGGGAGCACCTGGCCCATGGAAGATACATGTGGGAGCCTAGCTGTAGCTGTGCAAGTGGAGTCACCTTGAGGAAGAAGCTATGAAACATGGAAGTCCACAAGAAGGTGAAGCTACCGAGAGGCATAGAAACAGCCTTTAGTTTTCTCTGCATACACGGCCTCTACAGATACCATGAGTCTACACAGTTTATTGGTGTCCATAATCCCCAATGGCCAAATGGGTGCTGAAGCCACAGTTCCTCTAAAGGTGTTCACAAACACTGGTTGGCAATATAGATCCTTGAGCTTCGGTTGTCGCATCCAAGAGTAAAGACAAGTATTAGTCCTGTCTAAGGGAAGGAATTGGAACTGAGATCTCTGTATCACCAACTGGGAGCCCTCCGAGGTCCCACTGCAGTGGACACATCTCAGTGAAAGGGTCGTTTAGAAAAATATCCAAACCTCCATGTCTGGGAGTATGATGATAAACATCCCAATGAAAGTAATTGCGAAGCTGGATAAAAATAGAAAGTACCTTTTCAAATGCATTGAGTTGGTAAGAAAGTAAGAAATTCTGAGTACGGTAATTCTGAGGAGGCGCTGAGCTTGAGGTCAGCTTTTGCTTTAAGAGTGTCTGTCAAACCAAACCCCAGGTGAATCTGCATTATCAACCTGAATGCCTAGTGCAATAGAGGAGCCCCGAGATAAGCCCTGGACCCACCCAGTGTGAGGAGACTAACAGGAGATTCCCTACATAAAGTTGGGATTCAAACAGCCCGACTCAATCATAAGGGTGAACAAAAGTAAATGTGCCACAAAGAATGGCAGCATAAACCTTGCCTATTTTGACCTCAAAGCTGGGTGGAGAGGGCAGCCCGGGTGGCTCAGCAGTGAAGGCGCTGCCTTCAGCCCAGGCCCTGATCCTGGAGATCCGGGATCGAGTCCCACGTCGGGCTCCCTGCATGGAGCCTGCTTCTCCCTCTGCCTCTCTCTCTCTCTCTCTCTCTCTCTCTCTCTCTCTCACAAAAAAATAAATAAATATATTTTTTTAAAAAGCTGGGTGGAGGGATAAAGTCTTCCCTGAGGACTTGCAACAAGCCTGCTCTAATGTGGGTTCAAGGCTTGAATTAAGCTACTTCTGTGATTCAAAAACCTAAAGCAAATCATTTCTATTTTAAGTGGTACCTGCTTGAGACGACCTCCAATCAACTAGCAGAGGAATATATACACCTTGCCTGAGAAACACAGCTCCTAATCCAGGCCTCAAATTCCTTTTGTAACATGTTAAGGAGCATGACCTCCCAGCCAGAAAGTCATAAACATACAAGAAGCTAAGACACTGTGAGTGAGAGCCAGCTAGCCAATAGCAGGTGAAACCAGACTTGCAAAAATTAAAGACATTGGGATTATTGTACAGAGAATATAAAGGATAATTAATTTGTTTCAAGAAATTAAAGAGATGGGCAGCCCCGGTGGTGCAGCGGTTTAGCGCCGCCTGCAGCCCAGGGCGCGGTCCTGGAGACCCTGGATCGAGTCCCACGTCAGGCTCTCTGCGTGGAGCCTGCTTCTCCCTCTGCCCGTATCTCTGCCTCTCTCTCTCTCTGTGTGTCTCTATGAATAAATAAATAAAATCTTAAAAAAAAAGAAATTAAAGAGAAACTTGAAACTATGGGAGAGGGATATGAGCATAAAAATGCCAAGAAGATTTGAAAAAGAACTAAATATAAATTACAGAAATATAATGAAAAGATTGACTTAATTTTGCTTTAAATATTTTATTTATTTATTTATTTATTTATTTATTTATTTGAGAGCAAGATAGGGAGAGAAAGCGTGAATGGAGTGGGAGGAGAGTAAGAAGCAGGTTCCCCATTGAGCAGGAAGCCTGACAAGGGACTTGATCCCAGGACCCTAGTATCATGACCTGAGCCGACTTAACTAATTGAACCACCCAGGCACCCCACCTTTTTTTTTTTAAAGTAGGTTCCACACTTAGCTTGGAGCCCAATGTGAAGCTTGAACTCACAACCATGAGATCAAGACCTGAGCTGATATCAAGAGCCAGATGCTTAACTGACTGAGCCACCCACGTGCCCCACAAAGAGACTGATTTTAAAATGCAATGAGTAATTTAGGTTAGACTCAGACGATGTGAGAATTAATGAATAAATCATCCAGAAAGTAGCTCATAGAGTCAAAAACAGAGGTTAAGCAGTATGGAAGATGGAGGAAATAACAGAGAAAATTGGATCTAAGCACTATTATCTGAGAAATGACAGCTGATCTATTGCAAAATACTAATACTCCATCCAGGAAACCCAACAATCCCAGGCCAATTAAATAAGCAGGATACACACCTCCAAGGCTGTTCTGAAACTACAGAACACCAAGAAAAAAAGATCTTGAAAGCAGTCAGAAAGAAAAGACAAATCCCCCAAAAGGAAGATTAGACGGACCACTGACTTCTCAACAGCATCACTGATTTTAACACCCTAAGAGGGCATGGGGGAGAATTGCCATTCTAGAGTTATAGTCTCAGCAAAATTATCTTCAAGAACAAGGTGAAACAAGAACAATTTTAATAAACAACCAATTAGAAGTGCCTGGGTGGCTCAGTCAGTTTTGCACGTCTGTCTTGGGCTCTGGTCATGATCTCAGGATCCTGGGATTGATCCCTGCATCAGGCTCTCTGCTCAGTGAGGAGTCTGCTTCTCCTTCTCTCTCTCCCTCTCTTTCTGTACTCTCTTTCTGTCAAATAAATAAAATCTTTAAAAAAATTTTTAAACAACAAATAAGAGAATTTTCCAACATTTCTCCATTAAAGGAAATTCTAAGGGATCTATCTCAGGAACAAGGAAAATGATCCCAGAAGGGTTTGAAATGCAAGGAAAAATGGTGAGCAGAAAAAAAAAATCACAAAGTATTTGGGAAAATATAAATAAACATAGACTGGTAATTATTTTTTAATATGGGGCAAAAAAGATGGTCTGAGTTATAATATCGGACAACATTAAGATGTAAGGTAAGGACAGTTGTTTGGAAATAGAATAGACTTTGTTAAATAGTCATGCAAGAGTCATAAGGATCACCACTAAAAAACCAGAAATGGAATAAACCAGTAGAGAAAAAAAATGAATGAAATTTTTTAAAAAAATCAATTCAAAGGAAGGCTGTAAAAGAGAAAAGAGAAACTACAAAAAAAGGGAAGGCAAATAGCAAGCATAAAATAAGATGATAAAAATATATCTAAGTTTCTCAGTAGTCAAAACTATAAATTATTTAAATTCGTCAACTAAGAAATAGAAATTACCAAAATGTATACAAAACAAAGTAGTTGGGGCAGCCCCGGTGGCGCAGCGGTTTAGTGCCGCCTGCAGCCCAGGGCGTGATCTTGGAGACCTGGGATCAAGTCCCACGTCGGGCTCCCTGCATGGAGCCTGCTTCTCCCTCTGCCTGTGTCTCTGCCTCTCTCTCTCTCTCTGTGTCTCTTCTCTATGAATACATAAATAAAATCTTTAAAAAAAAAGTAGTTATATGCAATTTTCAGGAAATGAACCTAAAAAGTATAGACACAGGTTGAAAGCAAATGGATGACAGAAGTATATATAAAGCAATTAAAAAAAAGCAATAATAGACAAAAGAAAGCTAGTAGGGTTTTATTGACATTAGACTATATTTTTAGACTAGATTTTAATGTGAAAGGCATTATTATAGATAAAAGAATGTCATTTAAAATTCATAAAAATTTAATCCC